GCCACATAAAGATCGAGGTAAGCCGCCTTTTCAGAGGCTGCCTTAGCCCTCTCCTCCGCCAACTCCTTATCCAGGTGTAAACACCCCATTTTTGACCGTCCTCAAGACTTGGACGTCACCATTTGAACACTCGGTGATCATCCATATTTGTGTTCGTCTTGAGTTCCTGGAGGTCTCGGCCACGCGCCATGCCTCAAGATCTCTCGACTCGACGGTTTTGTGTTTAGTTTTGCACCAAACACTTGTGTTTTGCCTTTGAGGGGCAGGGAGTGGCTTGTGGGCCATCCTCACACATCACCGGCCATGGCTTGAGGCCATCGGCCAGTGTTTTGTTGCCATCGGCCAGATGTTTGGCCGGTCGGCACTCTGGATAGTCGGTCGGCCATTTTTTTTGTCAAAATAGCATTTTTGGCTGGCCGATCACTGTGCATCTGCTTTTGCAGATATTTTTATGCCAGCTGTGCTAGCTGGCATGCACTTTTGCCCCCCTCCATACACGTGTATGGAGGGATTTCACTCTTGCCATGCTTGTTTTGTAAGCTTTGCAAGAGTGATCTTCTATAAAGAGGAGGCCTCTCCTCCCTCCTCTAGGGTTAGAAAAAAGCTCCAGAGGTCTGGTTTTTAGGGTTAGAAGTGTGTGTCTATCCTATCTCTATACCTTCCTCCCTTGTGAGTTAAGTGTGTGTTTGTCCTTAGTATTGCACACAAACACCTACCATTACACCTTTCCTTAGTTGCTAAGGCATTAGAGGGTTGATCCTGGACTTTTTGAGCTGGTTTTGATCCAAAAAGAGGTCTGGTCTTGTGATCTTGGAAGTGTTCTTCAAGGGTGAGTGTTCTTGCTCTTTATTCTCCATTTTTGCATAGCTTTTTTGACTGTCTTGCAACTGTTTTTAGACTTTGCATATAACTTATAAATTTCTTTTTTTTTTACTTGCTTAAAATAGTTGTTTAAGTGTGTTTTGTTGTTTGGGGTTGTTTGACCTCTCTTAGGCCTTGTTAGGCCCTATTTTTGTGCATTTTTGGTGAGCTCCGGGACCACCTTGTTTGGGCCTCCTCACCACTGAATCTTGAGGGATTTCAGTGGTGAGGATGGTGGTTTAAGGTCCTAAGAAGGAGAGGGTCATCCCCTCTCCTTGTTGCCTTTAATATATGCCATTTAAGCCTCATGTGTGAGCATCATTTTTGAACTCATGTTGGCCATGTTTCAGTAGGTATTTGGTAGTATTTTGCCATGTTTTACCTCTGTTTTTACTTGGTTTAGACACACCATGCATGCCATGTATACATGTCTTGTAATGCCATGTTTTAGCCTTAACATGCTTTGTGCTTTGAGCTTTCTTCTAGCATGTTTTTGACCAAGCTTTGTGAAGTTTTTGTGCTTGTTTTGATGTGCTAAAGGTCTGTTTTTGGTCATTCGGGTAGTCCATGCTTTACTTTGTATAGCTACCATGCAATCTCTCTTGTATGCCCTAAGCATTAACCCCTCTAGCATGCCATCCTTGCTTTGTTTTAGCGGTTTGGAACCACTTGCCATGCCATTTCAGTCCTTGTGGTGTGTTTGTATGCTTGCATTTGGTGTTCCTTTAAGGCCTTAAAGGGTTGGTGTTTCCTGCTCCATGTTTGTGCCTTCATGTATGCCATCATGTCTAGGCCTCTAGGATGCCATGTCATTGTGTTTTTGGCTTTGTTTTAACATGCTAAAACTCTTATTTTAGTTGTTCAATTCATGCCATGTTTTCAAACATACTTGCCATTCATTTTTTTTGGAAACAAATCAATAAATTAAATATGTTATGATTATTTGATCAACCTAATTTTTTTAAAGGTAATATAAACATGAATGATCTTACAAATTATATGATTCGAATCATCGAAATATGACTGTGGTGTAGCCTTTTGTCATTATTTTTGATCGTCATGCTAGGGCTCACGACGCCCATCACAAGTCTTGTTTCGATAATCTGAATCATTAATTTTATTGAACCTTCCGTGTATATTAAACACACTACAAAAATAATCGAGCAATATTAATAACATTGTCTTTGTTCTCGTTTGTGTATCATCAGCTCAAATTTAACTGTTTTTATATGTGATTATTACATAAAATATTTAGTAATTGATTTAGAATCCCTAATATTAATATGACAAAGTAGCTCCCTCCATATCAATTAGAAGAGTGCCAGGCCAGCTTGAGTGTTGTTTTGATATATCCAAATCCCCACACTATTACACCCATTACGTGGTTTTTGGGTACATCTGTCTGAGTCTCTAGGTTGCTAAGACTGTTGTTGTAAATGGATTGGACTGGGATCTGAAAATGAGAAAATGCAGGGAGCGAGCTCACTACCAATCTTCTAGTAATTTAATGTTCAAATTCAATAGAAAAACCATGTTCTTCCTTCCCAAGCATCAATAACACCCATTATTAACTCCCTTTTAAAGACTTCACCACTCATGCATCGCACCCAACTGAATACAACCGAACCCTCCCCTCAGTCCGCAGACTCGCATCAATAATGTTACATCGATTCGGATATGAGTATTGGACATGGGTATATATCCAAGTGTCAAATTTTCATAAATTTAAATTTTAGGATCTTGGGATCACTACAAGAAATCGTATTTTTGCCGATTAAAAATTTGGTCGGCAAAAGTCCATTTTTAATCGGCAAAAGTTATTCGTGACCAATTTTTTTGGTCGCCGCTTTGATCGCTAATTGAGGGTCGGCAAAAGTAATTAGCGACCAAAACTTTGGTTAATCGGGAAAAAGTTGGATTTGCCGACTAAATTTTTGGTCGCTAAATATATCATTACTGCGACTAATCCATTTAGTCGCTAAAACACTTTAGTCGCGAAAAGTAACATTCCCGACCAAACATGTTAGTCGCCAATTGTCACATTCCACGACCAAAAAGTTTGGTCACCAATTGTGACATTCTGCAACCTCTTACTTTGGTAGCTAATTGTCACATTCTACGATCAAAAAGTTTGGTCGCCAAAAGGAATGTTTGCGCCAACATGCAACAAAATAAACCTGTACTTCATAATAATCTATCTAATCCATTCAATAAAATCTGTAATTTACAATAATCAATCAGACCAACAATTCAACTAAATCATGAACATTCAACAAAATATATAAATCATGAAATTTTGAACCTATTTAATTAAAGTCAACAACTATTATAAGTTCTCATCAACAAATAATTACAAACTACATATTCCTTCACTTAAAAATCCGCTTGTAATCTATATAATCATCCAATTTACATCCATCTAGCATTAAAATTTAAAACATATTCCTTAAGTGAAGAGTAGAACTCCCTTCACAGAGCATCAAAAGCTTTCATTGATTGAGCAGAAAGAAAATTCTTCCAACAGTATTCATATCCAGCTACATCTCTTTCAGCTTCTTTTCTGCCCTCATAAGCTTGGACAAGAGCAAGGTGATCACTGTAATCATGTGAAAATTGTGCTTTTGCTAGCTACAAAGAGAAAGACACATAAATCAATTAGTGAACAGATAAGATAAGATACTCAATTTCCAGCAAAAAGCTATCTATTAGTGAAACCACAATGCCTTGTTACATGTCACTCTGAATAATCTAGACAGGAGTTACAAGTTAAAAACTAGATACACACTAGCCAGTTCGCGACGAAATGGCCAATGTTCAGAACCATAGCTAGCACCCTTTGTGAAGACTGCAAAGTGGCCCATTCAGCCACAATAACCACCAACCATCAGCTAAATAGCCAATAGAGTTCTTCATTTCTCAGATTTAGATAGGGAATTAAAAACTATTTGAACAACTATATACCATATGCTTAACAACTTTGTAAGAAAATAAAAGAAAAAAGAAAAGGGTAAAAAGGAAAATCTTGAGTTTTATCTTGTAATTGGTTTTCATAAAGCTAAAATTCTACTACACAAACTTGTAGTAAGCACAGTTGCAGGAATACTTGTAACTCAAGTAGATGTACTACATAATTCAAAAGTGAAGAAGATACGAAGATACAAAATTCTTTCTTTCTGTTCTCTCTCTCTCTCTCTCTTCCCTTTATTTTTCTTTTTCTTATGTCTGATTTTCTGACTTATCCTCAGATAGCAAGGTCCTATTGTGAATGAAACCAAAAAAACCCCTAGAACTAAAAGAAAACATAGAAATCTATCTAATGTACTGATAATGTTAGCGAATTGAGATAGATGTGAAACCAACAAAAACTAAAACTAAAATTGAAGAAATTGACAAACTTCAATCCAACCACAGACAAATGCACTTCAATACATTATCTTTGTCATTACCTAAAAACCTAAAAAAGGTATAACCCCTGCTCGAGCATAGGTACTACTTTTTTTTTTTAAAGCTCGAGTTCAATTTTCAAAATCAAAAATATATCTTAAAATTGCAATTCCTTCTTCCATTTACTCATCATCCAAACAAACAACAAAATTAAGAATTTAGTTAACTAATGCTATTTACTTCTAGAAGGCTAAGTTGAGCTAGAAAATTTAATTCCCAATCCAAGTAATGAGAAACTTAAAAAGTTCAAATTCTTTCTTCATTTCTCTTTACTACATTTACTTAACAACCAAACGGAGTGTAATCAAAAACCCAAGAAGTACATAGAGAGATGATAGTAACTAATGTTTCAGTTTTCCCATAATCCAAGTAGACAACAAAATTAAGAATTCAATTAACTAATGCTATCTACTTCCACTAGGCTAAGTTGAGTAAAACTTTTTACATTCCCAATTCAAGTAATGAGAAACCTAATAAATTCAAAATTTTCCCTCTCTTTACTAGATTTTCTCGGAAACCAAATGGAGTATAATAAAAAACCCAAAAAGCAGATAGAGTTAAGAATCCAATTAAAAAATCCTGTTTACTTCTAGGTGGTTGCTAAGTTGAGCAGAAACTTTAAAAATCCCAATCCAAGTAATGTGAAAGCGTAATAAATTCAAAATTCTTCATTTGAATTTTGATGTTTTTGCTCAACTAATACATTCAACTTGGTCACTAGTTACAATTGAAAAAGGTATCTGTTTAAAAGCTTAAAGAACTGATAGAAGTGTCTCACATGTAAAATAGTTCCAGACTTACATCCATGTAGAGGTAGTGCAACGACAGAAGGCTTCAGTGCATTAGCATAATCAACGGCTGTAATATCATCACCACTGCCTCTTAATCGCTCCTGAAAATAAAACAACTCATGGAATAAATTAATTAATAATTAATAAAGTTCACTTTTGATGACAAATTGTTCAAAGACAGCAAGACATATACCCCCAGTTCACTTTAGCTACATTCAGTTTTGATGAAAGATCTGCAACTGAGAAGCCCATTTGTAGGGCTGTCATTCAATGCAAAACACAAGAATTAACTGCATAACAATGTGAGTGAGAGAGAGAGAGAGAGAGAGAGAGAGAGGGAGAGAGAGAATAAACTGGTCCCATAATACTAACAATTTCATGAAAGGAGAGCCTGCAAGGGCACAACACTGAGTACATGTAGCCAAAATATAAGAGAACAAAACCAGTAAGGATATATAACTCACATGAGAACAAACAAACCAAGTAACAATATATCCTTCCTTCCTCACATTGTATCCATTGCACGTGAATAGCAAAAGATGATGTTTTGAAGGAGGAGATTTGAATTACAATTTTTTTTTTCTTTTTCAGTTTCTTTTTTTTTTTTTCTTCTTTTTCCTTTTCCTGTTACCATATACTAGGAAAAAAAATGATTGGCAAATGGTAGTAACATTTTGAAATAACAAATAAAGATGTATTGGTTTGAAATGAATGAGTACCAGTTTTTCAAACTATTTTACATAGATTTTATTATTACTCTATTCTTATACCATGCCATTATACAATATTGCTCAAGCATTGCTATGCAGTTGCCTCAAAGAGAGAGAATTGCAAGGGAAGGGAGTAGAATAATCAAGTAAAAGAAAAAGATTTTTCCATGGCCTTTTCTCACACAGATACAGAAGTCCTTAAAGGATAGAGGAGGGAAGGAGATGATTCACAGGCAGCCTCTTAAAAAGATTGCTCTTTCAAAACCAAAACCAAAACCAAAACCAATTTTTTCCCATGATTTCTTTGTAAATCATGAATGGGCATATATATATGATAATGGATGGTCCATTGTGCATATGATGTCAGGGAAATGAAAAGGATGAATAGGTGATTACCTTGAGAAGAGAGTACTAGAGTCTCTAATTTCTATACACAAAATGACCAAGTCCTTGAACATTGAATTACACTAATCAGACACTTAGACACAAACTCAAACCAAACACCAGTACGCGAATCTATATAAAAATAGTACAAGAGAGAATGGTATAGAGGATGTTTATGATACACACGTAACATACCACACAAGCTCCCGCTTACACACGCTCGCACACCACACAAGTCCATGCTGACACCGGTTTGCAGTCATCACCAGAACTTCATCATCCATTAAATTGGACAGGCAAACATGTAGTTCTGATTTCTAGAGTATATGTGACACCTGAACTTAATAAAATTACATAACCGAAAAACATGACCATATATGAACTTAAATTCATAAATTATTAGAGTACGAGTACAACAAAAACAGAATGGGCAGCAAACTGATTGCATGGGGTGACATGTGACTGCAGCAAAAACATAACAGTACTCAATACTAAACAGCATTTTCCTATCACATGCATTGTTGTTTTGTTTTTACCTATTGGAAAACCACCACAATGCAATCGTCATGTAACATATTTAAACCCATTTTTGCACACACAGATTAGCTTCACAGCTATTGATGGTCACAATCTGTACATATCTCTTTTACTAAGCAAAACATCAGAAATTAAATTGAACAGACCTTTGCACAATCACCGAGCCAACTCATGATACTTCGTGCAGCTTCAAACATCTCACCCAATGCGGTCAAGGTGGTCTGCCATACAATGAATCACAGTTAACTTAAACCTTCCTTAATATATAGAGGGAAAAAAATTGTCAGGCTGAGAATGTGAAAAGCAACATTTATTACAAATTGCTAGTGTGACTTTGTCGACCACTGTGTCGCAATTATAGTTATTTTAATGGAAAAAAAAGCCAAAAACCAACAAAGTTAAAGATTTACTACAGCAGTATGTACTTACTTTTGCTGCATAACAAGATGCTGCAATCAACTCATCATCGTCTTCAATGGCACAACGGTCTTTTAGCCTCTTCTTGATTTGGTCACGTGCACCAATATAAGTCACACCATACACTGATGTCACCACCATTTGCTTAACCAATTTCCTATCTACCTGAAGATTTCTAGTTGCGAAGGTAGGAAATCAGTGATAGAACTGAATTAGGTTCAGGAAAAGTAATGAAATTTGGGAAGCGCCTATCTGAATTAGCCAAATTCTTAAGAATGGTAGAGAATTATTGTGGCTTTAACCAGTTCAATGCATCTATTTTCAGTACGATATCTTATACATGAATTAAACACCATAAGAATTAAATGAACATGAGAAGCAATCAAACCTGATTAATTAAAAGACTAGCACGCGATGCATTTGGATCAGTTGCGGGATCTTTTTTTGCATCTCTCCGCGTAATATCAAGAACTCTGCATCACAGCAAGAATATCAATAGTATTTACAGAGGAGATTTTCACAATTGTGATTCAAGAGGATGTCACTAGCCAAGGCATCCTTATCAGATCTGTCTAAGCACCTCCACGTAATACCACAATACAAATTTTCATTCATGAGCTCCACACAAGGACCATGAGGTAACTCCCTTGATCCATCTCCAAGCTAGTCATCCAGTGCACTTAGCACCTGAACAAAGACATGACCTCTATTCTTTTCTGTTTCCAGTTAGTAATTTGTTTTCAGAATCAGAGAAGAGACCATAAATGACATTGATCAAGGTATGTTCAGACTGGATCCAGACATTTCATTGTTATTGGGGATATTGATTTTCCAGAGTATTTTTTTTGTTGTATGTTTTATGTTATTTTGCATTCAGGATACTATTATCACATTCTATTGTTCTAACTATAAAATATGCTCTAAGGTGGAGGGTTTGACATACACCCAAACCTATTCATCGTATTCTCTTCTCTTCTTTATATCTATCTCTCTCTCTTCTAATCCCAACACTAATTTTTCACACTTCACACCCAACTTATATGTTCCTAGAGAATTTAATCAAGATGGTTCACCTCTAAAGTTTACAGAACTGAAAATTAGCAGCCTCCCAAATATTGGTTAAGGGAAGCTAGTAGTGATGTACATGTCACTTATGAATTTCCTTCTTCCTTTATTAATAGATAATATATGTATACACACACACACCAACAAAAAGAGGGAAGCAAAAGAAACTAGAAAAGAAAACATATATATCATCTGAAGATAATTGTGTACCTAGCAGCAATTCCCGAGTAACCATCTGCAGGCTTCTCTCCTGCAACAAGATTGACTGCAGCTGCTCCTAACTGAACGAAAGTAATTTTTTTCATTACAATACAAGAACACGACAACCATGGCCAGAAGTGAACAACTTCATATGAGCTAAGCGATAGAGATTTTATTACCTTATCCCTCCCAAGGGCAGCGTAGTGTTGTAGGCCATTACATGAACCATCCTTGAAGAGGAAAAAATAGAGGGAAAAAATCTTAGATTAAAGTTTGGATAATGGTGTATATTCCAGAATTCAGTATAACAACAAAAAGAAAATGTAACTTGTATTTACGTATCAAAATGTTTAAAAATAAAAATAACAATAAAATTGTAGCATCTGCTTGATGTTTTCTCAATTTCACAAGTAGCGACATTATGTAACAAGAAAACCAGCGAAAATCTATTATCTCCATTACTTGTTGATGTCTTTAGTCTATGATCTGTCAACAGACAGGATGGGACACTCTGCCTCAACATAGACATAAAGCGTATTACAATGAAATTGTAATTGTAAATGTATTTTACAGCACAAATGTACAAATTTGTCTGATTGGATGTATGTGTGGGTGTCATAAGCACATATACATGAGAGAGCAAATTAGTAAAACGACTTGCCTTCGATGATCAATCAATACATATTTGGCCACGATATAACTATACAACATGTCATTGAGCATCACTAATCAGAAGCTTTAATATATTGAAGACTTGAAATTATAGTAGGAACCGTGACAAAAGCCAGAACAGATGCTTCTTTTTTCTTTTTTAAATACTATTGATTTCCTCTCTGCAAGCACATTGCTTACAGAATAAAAAACAGGATCTTTTAAAAATGTAATAAATTTATTTAAGAGCAACTTCAATCGATAACTTGGAACCGAAGCTCAATAAAATTTATGTTCATTTCCTAGATCCAGCTGGCATAAAATTATTCTTTTTTTTTTCTCTGTCCATATCTTGTTTCCATTCTTCTATTTTATAAATCAGAATAAATAGTTGGTACTGAAGGCCTTGTTCAATTTTTGAGCAGACAAATGCACACAAACACAGATACATATTGCTGATGAATTCCCAAATCAATTTTTGTTTATGGTTAGACTACAGTACCTGGTGGACAGGCATATACGGAATAGTAGTCTTTGGAGAGAAGCTTCTCAATGCTTCAGCAAGATTAATACATGTTGCCAAGCATTGAAACGGATCCTCTGCACCCAACCACCAGCGCCTTCCTTCAACAGGTCTGTCTGCTGAATCGAAGATATCATCCAAATGATTCTCAGTAAATGTAATTCGACCCTCATAGGAAAACTTTTCCACTCCACCAGCATACAAATTCGCCATATGTATCTTGAGCCACTGTAAGCCAGACTTGCCAAGAGGGCGTTCCTCGGCAAACTCCAAGATGCCTTGGCACAGATCAGAACCAAGATGGCCAACAGACTAACTCAATGGTCAAAAATATGCAATTTCAACTAGCCACAAATTTTGGAAAGGCAAACAATTATAAACCAAAAGATCTCTTATCTTAATCTGTCGAGTCATAGAATGATACATCAACTTGCAATCAGGGTTTCAAACACATTCCATTTCAAGATGCCCAACAATGAGTTCCACCACTAAATAAGTTTGGTGGAATGATAAATCAATTGAAATCCCTACTACTATTGTGATAATAACAATAATGATCTTTTGGTAAACTACCACAGCAGTAATTTATCATATCTCCAAATAAAATGAATCTGAACCAAATAATCACAGGTCAAATAATTTACAAATATAAATAAATAAATGAACTTACAGGTTCTTGTTCTTTATTATGTGAATCCTTCCAGAATTTTTTTTGTAATTTTTCCCAAATCTGCTCGAAATTCACAAATAAAAGGGGATACTTAAAGAAAGAGAAAAAATAAAACACTCCGAGGAACATCACAGATTGGGGGACTTCACAAACAACAGATTGAAATCCTATTATCGACATATCCCAGCAGCAAACATAACAGAAACATTAAGAGTGAGAGGGAGAGACAGAGACTGAGTGAGTGAGAGTGAGAGAGAGGATTTATACCTCAAATTGTTTTTAGGGAGAGTTGAAGATGCTCTGAAAAATCGTGATGGTGAGGGCCCTGGTGGGTGAGACATTGTAGAACAAGAAGAGTATGACAAAGAGGAATCAGAAATGGCGAAGACGAATCAGAGAGATATAAACAGAAGACGAATCAGAGAGAGACAGAAGGTTGAAAAAAAATACCTAGATGACGGTGACAAATCAGAAATGGTGAATACAGACGGCGGCGCTGACGGTGGAGAGGCGAGAACGGCAGACGGCAACGTTGATGGTGAGGCGAGGTGATTGGCGCGACTGAGGTGTGATCGAATTCGACTGAGAGGCGCCTTTTTTTTTCAATATAGGTTTGAATTAGTTCAGTTATCCCCTACAACAGTGTTGGTTGGCCATGGTCCCTCAGTGTATTTAGATATCAAAACGACGGCGTTTTGATATCTGCGACTAAATTGTTTTAGTCGCTAAAACTTTTTATTGTTCTTGTCCAGATTTTCGCCCCGTCAATATTTTTGGCGACAAATATTTTCATTTGGTCGCAAAAAAACACTTTTTTGCAACAAAATTACTTTTGTTGGTAATAGTATCAACTTTTAGCTACGAAATTTTTTTTGGGTCGCCAAATGTCATTTTTTGCAACCAAAATTTTTTTAATCGGCAAAAGTGGTCGGGAAATGTGTTATTTCTTGTCGCGTAACTTGATTTTTTACAAGTATATTGTTCTCAATATTTCTTAAAATTTGAACGATTTGGATCATCAAAATATGACCCAAAATGATTTCCACAGGCCGCACAACAATCACTACTAGGCTTCACGTCCAACAGTGACACTGGATCCCTTTGTTAGGGGATGAGAGTACTCAACTCATGGTAGTGTTAATTGGCAATCATGGATTTGGAAAATGATGTTTATGCTCCTTTTATTTGGTCTATTAATAGGTCCGGAAGTACCTAATAATTTTTCATTACATAGTACCACTCTCGATAAAATTACAAACCATCTTACTAGTTTTGCAATTATTTTTTTCACAATCTCTTTCCCTTTTGCAAAATTATATTTGTTATATTTGTTATACGAAATAATGTTCTTGTATAATCCTGTTGATTAAGTCTGTGTTCCTCCATACGTCGTCGCTTTAGTCCCTGAAAACACAAACGTGAGCTAGCCGTCGGGTGCGTGTCGGATACCTCTCCGATGCCTAAGTTAGCAAAATGGACAAATAGGAAAAAGTATATATATATATATATATATATATGATAAAAAGTAAATATAAGCGTGACGATTAAAAATGAAATTGTAAGCTTTGATCATATATATATATATAAAGCAATGGTTCATTCATAATCAACATTGACAATGTGTTGGATCAACCACGGTAATTTAGGTAGATTCAATCAAATTGAGAGTCCATTTAAGCTCAGCTTCAAATATTAAGAAATCTGTCCAAATTTAAGGTTCAGTCCGTTGCATAGACTGTAATCATTGATTATGGCGTTTTAACGTTTTTATAATGACAATGAGAGCATAACTTAATTTAATTATTAGGGCATGCAAACAGTAGGTCACTAAATTACGATTTGGGATGGTTGTTGTGCAGGTTGTGTACCCAAATGAGCCCATTTTGGGACCCATTTTGATAATCCGAACCGTTCACATTTTAGAATACATCACGTATAACATACCTGTAAAAAATTAAAATAATCGAATATCGTTACCCATTCATCCACTCACATTTGTATTTACAAAAATAAATAACAATTGTAATCTAAAGTATTAAAATAAATGCAAATGTGAGTGGATGAATGGGTAAACGATATCCGATTAACTTGTGTGTGC